ATATCATTTTCACTTTTTTAATAATATTTTGATGATTTTCCACGTTATTATATTTACTCCTAAATTTACGAACCTACAATATTTTATGTGAACAACGGTAAATAAAATATTATTCTGGATAATATGAAAATTAAAAACTTACTTAATTGGGAGTAATAAAAAAAATGTATGTTTATTTCATGTTAACGTAGCAGCACATGAGTTAAGTTAAGATAATAAATTGAAATTAATTTAATTTTTAAACATTATAGGGAGTCAGCTATCTATTTTATGGTTGAAATATCTGTGATGTATGTAAATATTTTCTTTTTGATATCATATTTATATTTTGAAACATAAGAATTTATAATTATTGTGTTAATTGTATGCGAAATTTCCTATTTCCATAACACGTGGTATTTTATTTGCGAATGATGTATTCTGAGTTTATAATAATAATATTTTTATTTTGCAATTTTCTAGCAAAACTTAGAAACGTAAAATTTGGAACAAAATAATACACACTTTGACATTGTTAAGCCTCATCAGAGTACCAGGTGATCCATTCAAGTGGGTACACTCATTATCTCAGAAATGATTAACATTTTCGGGATTTTTGCATTTTTACATTATTGCCCCTTTCCAAGATTGGCCACGTTCCTTTTTTTTTTGGAAATACACACAAGTACTTAATGCGTGCGAGTAACAATAGTAGGTTTTATTATTTAAAATTTAAAAAAATAAATCGTTCGGCAAAATCACAGTATTTCCATGTGCCTATTTTAAAAATACGAATAATACGGTTCCATTATATTATATGCACATAAAGTTCCAAAGGATAATTGTATTCATTATAAAACGTGCATAAGGGAAATAAATTGGTACTGTCTAAATTTGTTCTATAATTTTTTTTTTAATTGAAATAAATTTTATTCACAATCTGTATTTACATATTGTACAATAAATAAATTAAAAGAGATTTGAATGATGGGAAAGAAAAGTCGCCCATTGGTGGCACCCCGGTTCTACACATTTCAATTTTAAAACGAACAAAATATTAGCCATGTCAATAATTAAACGACCGTCGTAGTTTTAAATCGTTTAAAAGCCGAATTTTTAATAAAATCCTTTCGAAAACAGAAAATCGATCAAAAAAATAATCAAACAAAGGCTGAGTCGTAGATGTAGAACATAATGCTCGGTAAACGACAAGAATACACAAAACTAAAATATTTTTAAAGATATTAGACTCGAACAAACAGGACTTAAGTCTATTTTTTTTACATATATATATTTTTTTTTATAATTTTGTCTTATGCAATTTTTCCATTTCTAGGACCAAAGGTATGCCGTCTCAATAATTAGATGTCTAAGGTGCGCAATGCACACAATCCTCTAGTCCAAAGGAGATTAGGGACCTTATAAATCGAAAACTAAAATTCAAAATTGTCTTTTCAAAATATTTATTTAGCTTCTGACTAACGAATGTTCTGATTTTTCATAGTTGCTTTTAAAGTTTAAATCATGGTTATTTACCAAGTACAAAGTAGCTAGTGGTTAAATGTTATAAAAAAATTGTGGGAGAGTAGTGGAAAACTAATGAAACACCACGTGCCTCAACACAACTGATACTCTACTACTCTCTCCCTACCTAAACTTAAAAATGGAATAATATCTCGCTAACGGGTTGACTGAAATCAAAAATTTTGAAACCAAAATGTATTTAAAGTAATACTCCGTCTACTTATGGGATTTTTAATATAGGCTCTCATTTGAAAAACCTAAGTTGGTATCGCCATAGGATACTCCTTAAATGTTATGAAAAATCTCAGTATTTGAAAATATTGGCTTTAACTACGCTTACAAGTTTCAAAAATCAGAATTAAAATATATATTATGCAAAATTTAACCGAAAAAATGGGGCGAACACGCTTAGTGAATCATCCCGTATATGCAGCAGGTGCCATTTATAAGACTCATTTGAGGATCAGCACAAAGCGAATCTTGTAACCGAATGAATCTTACAGGCGAGGTGAGGAATGGATAGAATGTATGGAAGATCCGGTCCGTTTCAAATGATTTTGAATCTTATAAGCGACGTCCACTGTATATCAACTGTGCACTAAACAGTACCTAATACAGCAGTCAAGTAAGAAACGTGTATTTAAATTTGTAGCATCAATATATGTGTCGTTTTTCCTTGCACATGGATCTCATAAAATGAAACCGCGGCGCTGGCGCCCAAACGTAATACGATATTAATAAAAACGGAAATTTGAATGAATTTTATTCGTACCGTAAAACAACGAGTCGCCGTCAGTTTAAAAAGCCAGATAAAATATGTAAAATCACGGTACTTGAAATATAATATAATATACGAGACTCGTTATAATATTATGAGATCGTGTGTGTGTATTATTTAATTCACTTTATGTACTTACACGCTGTTTTGAGACGTGTCAATAAAGAAAAATAAATGAACATCAGTGTGTGTGTATGCGTATTGTAAGCCCTCATAAACCCGTACGGAGTATACTTGTGCACGTTCTGTTACGTTTTGTTAATATTGTTATAACAAACGTGAAATTCGGTATTTTTTATATATATATATTTACGTATATTTATCATATTATTATAATAAAGTGCGTATATAGTTAAACAAACTTACATTTTTTTTTTTTTTTTTTAATCACGGCGTTTTGAAATGTTGGAGTTGGAAAGTTAAAACTGTTAAATTAATAATCTTAGTTAGTTTTAATCCAAGATATTACATTAACTTATATTTGTCGAATCATCCACGAAAATGGAGACTTCGACTACTACAGTGTAGGAATATTGTGTCCATTGTGATATAATATATCATTATCTTATATCTTTTGCCTGTTACTTTTGGATAGGATAGAGTTGGATTGAATTTCAATTTGCAATGCTGGATATTGATGTCAGGAGGATGAAATTTTATATATGTATGGCGTTTATATCAGGGATGTGTCTTTTGGGAGTTTCAACTTTAAACCCCCAATTCTGCCATTTTTGTGATCAAATTTCAATATTTTATTAGAAGTCGCATCATTTTAGTTTTGTACGAAAAAACTTCCGTTAACGGTCACCTCTATGTAGCGGCCATTTTTTTTTAGTCCCGTCAAGTGTTATGCTTCTATAGACACCTCTAAATAGCAGTCATTATTTCCGGGCCCTTTGGTTACCGTTATATCGAAATTTTACTGTATTATATATTCGGTTATTGTATGTTTTGTACCAAATGTTTTGTCATACATCTAATATAGGTAGCGGAAAATTCGATTCTAGTTATGAAAATCTGCAGCTCATAGGTGTTTTTTCTATTTTCACGTTTAATTTCAATTTTTTTCAATATAATATTAAGTTTACGATCTATGTAAGTACATACATTTATCAAGTTTATTAGAAGAAGCCCATGTAACTAAGATAGGTGGAAGAATTTGGTTAAAACAGCAAATGGCCTGTAGAAGTTAGAAAAAATATTCATTATTTATTGAAAATATGTTATCGTACAAATAATAATATATATATTTTTTTATATTTAATAATTTATGTGAAGTACGGAGTTCAAAGTAAATATAATTTGATATTTTTGAAATTAATTACACACAATTAACAAGATTCGTTCATATTTTTGACGAATGAATCTAAGTATAAATATTATCACTAATATGGCATAACGCAAGTTGTTGCGAGAGTGCCACTTGGAGCTTGACCGGAGAACGAATGAAGGTAAGTGTGGTCTGCAAATTGTTTTTGAAAATGAGCTGCTAAAAGTTGAAGTAATCTCATTAAAAAACGGAAGAGCACGTCAGCACAGTCGTTTTTAGCACCGTCGACCACCCACGGCCCCCTATATGGATACTACCAAAACCATTGTGGACTCAGATCAAAACTACCTAATTTTAATTGTAATATATTCTCTTTAAATTGTTTATTTATGGTACTCACCGAAACCCGGCTAACCAATAATTTTCCCAATCATGAGCCTGGTCTCTATAACTACAATATTTTTCCATATGATATGTGTAGCCATACTAGTAACTGTTTTCGTGGTGGTTGAGTCCTCATTTGAATTCGTAAAAGTATTCCCTCTTACCCTATCCTAATTGATTAACTAAATGTTGAACTTGTCTCTGTTCGTTTCCCTATTTGTACTTTAAACTATATTATTGGCGGGGTCTACATACCCCCAATATCTTCTCCTAATGTATATGAATCTCACATAAGTTCCATTGAATTTTTGGTAGTAAGATATCCTGATCACATTTATATCATTTGTGAAGACTATAATCTCCCTGAGATTTCTTGGTACAATGATGATAATGGATTATCTTATTCTTATTCCACATCATCTCGTGCGCCATGTATCCCCAGATCATTAGCTATAAATGAGTTTTTCCAATATAATGGTGTACGTAATACCTCTAATTCTATCTTAAATCTAATCTTTTGCTCTATTAAACAGTTAAGTGTTGAAAAATCATGTGAGTCACTTGTGTCTATTGACAAGTATCACTCAGCATTAAATTTACAATTAACCTTTTATATTTCTAATCCTAGCTGTGATCACAGTCATTTGTTCTACAATTTTTGTAGAGCTATAGTAATGTTCGTCAATTTATCTCATAATTCGATTGGTATGCCACATTTCTCTCGCACGATGTTAGCACAGCTGTTAATATTTTTTATAATGAATTTTACATAAATCATTTATTGATTTTGTTCCTCAATGTAGATTTTATGAATCTACTTATCAACCTTGGTTTAATAAAGAGTTTAAAAGAATATTATATACTAAAAAAAGAAGCACACGCTAAATTTAAGCCCTCATCCAACATATTTTATTATAAGGAATTATCGTATCTTTGGGCAAAATTACATCTAAAAAATGTTATCGTGAATACAATGCTAATGTTGAAAAACAACTCAAAGATAAACCCTATGTATTTTCGAAATATATTAAAAATAAACGTTTCAATAATAGTATACCTAAAGTTATGTACTTTAATGACGTAAGTTGTTCTGATGAGCTTACGACTGCAAATTTATTCTCTGACTTATTTTCTTCATTTTATAGCACTAAGAAGAATGATGTTGCGATTGATCAACTAGGAATACTCACCTTTGATCTACCAAACAATATATACTTTAGTGTTGATGATATTTACTATAGGCTATCTTATCTACAGGGTGTTGGTTCTGCTGGTCCTGACGGTCTCTTTGGTATATTTTTATATGAGCTAAGGGAAATGTTGGCAAATCCTCTATTGGTCTTATTTAGGTGTTCTTTAGATAATGGTTCGTTCCCATCTATGTTTAAACTTAGCTCAATTACACCTGTTTTCAAGTCAGGGTGTCATAGTTTGATTTTGAATTATCGGCTAATAACCATAAAATCTCATGTTGTAAAAATATTTGAAGCGCTGATCCTTAATATAATTCAAGGACCAACAAACAACATTCTAATAGAAGAACAGCATGGTTTTTGTTTAGGTCATTCTGCTTCCACTTGTAATCTTTTATTTTCTAGCTATATCTTTAATACTTTTCAAAAACAATCCCACAAACATGTATATGAACATGTAGGTGGGTTGGTATATAGTTTTGATGTGGCTCTAAAAATACATTTTAATTTCATATTGTTTTATTTTTGAAAATAAAAATCCAAATTGTACAATCCGCATAATATAATAATATAAATTGTAAATATTATTCAGCGGTACATTATGCTACTCGACTTTTACATTGTAATTTTTAGCTAAAGGAGAGTACCATAGGTACTTATTAAAAATGTATATAACCCTGTAAAATATTTATATAATTTTTTTGCGCTGGATCGCTGGCTACAATATTTTATTAGTGCAATCACGTTGTATTAAACTTGTATGGTTACGTTGTATTATATTATTAATATACAAATTGTATTACATATATTTTACATTTTTATAATAAAAGCACAGGAGATTATGTATTTTATATACATACGGTATTATAAAAAGGAAAACAAAAATTACATTTAAGGAATTTAATCCCTCTGTGAACAAGGTATCAAGCTCAAAAAATCTTCAAAAATAAAAATACATTAAAAAAGACCTAGATGGTGAACTGATTTGAACGAAAAATCAATGTTTTTTTTAAAAGTATTTTTAAGTTTGTCGATATTTTTAAATGTAACATTGAAATTTCGTTACCAAGCCGACTAGCCACTACTCAATTTTCAACCCGAATTCTTGCTCCAATCAAAAACTCCGTAGAAGATTTCTTATAGAAACCATCATTACGTGCATTTTTCCTACTTTCTAAGTTTTCTCAATTATTAAGAAAATGTCAAGGAAAATAAAAAACAACTTACATACATTACATAATAAAGCAAGATTTCTGGTAGAAATTTGTGTCAACGTATATAAAAGAAAAAGATATCATTGTAAATCTAATAGGTACATTTTTCGCTACACTCAGAATCTGAAATTTAAATAAAATTAAATATTTCCGATTTTGATTATACAAAATATATTATTTTATCATATCTTTGCAAATTGATTGTTCTCACTTAATTTTCCATAATTCTATCTCACCCTCGAGAGAATATTTATTGAAATTTATAAATGAGTAGTGTTTTATTCTTGTTTCAATCAAAATATTTCCAATTTTAATTATTTGTACTAAAGAATTATGGTAATTTTGTATAATAAAAAAGAACATCACACAGTTCACGGGAAGAAAGGGTGATTGCTCTCCTCTCCACTCCCCTCGCCCCTCTTTTCAGAGACACAGATGGCTTAAAAGCTGTTAGAGAAATTGAAATTGTAAATATTTGTGGTAAAGATTTTATAACTATTGGTGGAACAAGAGTTATAGATTATCTTCACATTATGGATTTGGCTGAATGTCATGTTAGTGCATGACAGAAAATACAAAAGTCTAATGATAGTGGAGTTATTGCCATAAATTTGAGTACTGGAAATGGATTTTCTGCATTACAAGTAATAAATTCAATTTACATCTAATAAAAAAATATTTAAATGGCTAATAAAACTTATTTTTTGTACCTTAATTTCTAACATTTAAAATTTTAAACTATACACAAATGTAGAGATAGTAAAATTTTAGATTTAATTTGTTATAATCTATATATTTTTCATTCCTACAAACTATTAACTATGATTAATGTTCAGCACTGAATAGTCTTTAAAATTAATTTTACCTTGTAATAAAATTTATATAAATATTGTGTTTTTATTGTTTTTAGATAATAAACATGTTTAGTCAAGTTAGCAAAAAAAAAAAAAAAATAAAATATGAATTGGTTGATCGTCCACCTGGTTATTATGATTCTTCTTATTGTGATGTATCTTTTGCTAAAGAATATCTTGGATGGGAAGCTAAGAGAACTTTAAAAGAAATGTGTGAAGATACATTGAGATGGCAATCATTATATCCTCGAGAGTTTTCTACTGAAACATAATTGCTTGCTCACTCTATGTTCAAATCAAAAAAAAAATATTTTAAAAACAATTTGAAAAATAATATGTTAATCAAGAACAATAAAACAATTGTTATTAATTATTTACGTTCATCTCATTGAATAATCTGATGAGGCCAATTAGTTCATGTAGGAACATCGTAGCACTTTATTATTATTTTGTTATTAGTGACTAAATTAAATTAGTAAGCAGATGTATTTGTTTCAGTCTGTATAATCACAATTGTTAGGTTAGAAATTTAGATAGAAATCCAGAGAGGATTATTTTTTTTCTGTATTAAAAATCAAGGGAATCTCATTATTTTTAAATTCGGTAAAATTTATTATTTGTAGTTTAAATGATAAATTTAACCAAAATTCATATTTTTCAATATGTAATTTACAGATTTTGATACATTACTCTTTAGGCAGAAACAATAAATTCAGATATGGCTTAATTCCTCATAAATATTTAATGTATTGATTATGAACCATAAAACATGAAGCGATTTTTAAGCCGTTTCTTATGCTATTAATAATTTTTAGTTTACTACAGTTTATTAAATATTTAAATACCTATACAACACATGCGCGAAGTATAATGACGGCCGTCTTTTTATTTTTATGCATGTTTGAAGCTCATATTTTTATTAAAATCGGTCATTCGTAAAATTATACAATTGTAAACATTTATTATTTGAGGTATTTACCCCACTTCTCTGAAAACACGTATTGGCTGCACAATCAGCACCAAAATGCGTCAAAGTGACAATAATTGTACCGGGTGATACATTTATGTGGGTACACTCGTTATCTCGGAAAGTATGACCATTTTCCGGAATTTGTTTTCTAGAACATTTTAGAAACAAGCTTCACTTCAATTTTATAATCGTGTAATTTTTCGTCACTCTTTTTTCTGATTGCAAAACCACTATTAACTTTTGATTTTCAAATAGCAACCTATATTGAAAAGCTCATAAATAGATTGAGTATTTATTATAATACATTTTGGTGTTGACATTTTTGATTTCTGTCGAGCCGTTGACGAAATATTGCACGTTTAAGTCGGCGGAGACCGGTGGTGCATTATTTACGCGCCGCCCGCGCTGTACCGCCACACAAATGACACTCCGCCACTCTCCGCCAACTGTAACGTACCGGCGGTTTGCCGTCGTTATCATGAATAATTTAAACGAACGGTTTAAATAATAAAGTGCGGTCCGCTTTTATTTCAACGAAGGTCTTTTGAGTTTACGGCACAATAATACGCGTACACGCGGTTTACAATGGGCGGGAACGTTACGTGTGCGGGAGTTCGCGAATACGTTATTTATAGTGGCGCGAGAGGCGAACGGATGTACGTGTTATTTAACAGATACGCGTGTAATTACAGTGCATTAGCGATCGCGGACAGTTTCGTCACGCAATTTCGGATTGCAATTAAGAGGCGCGTCCACACGGTGGTACACGGGTTGGCGTAAGCGCGGGCTATCTGCGGAAAAACGGACGGGCCCGCCTGTCAATAGGCGAGTCGGGCGGTAACCGATTGCGGCGGGAGGGTGTAGCAGATAGTAGCGGTATCGCTCGCCAAACGCACCGGGAGCGGGCGCGCGCGATCCGCGAGGTGTGTGGAACGTCGCCGCGTCGACGGACGACTCGCAGCGAGCGTCTGAAATCTTGGCCACACGAACGGCCGGTGGGTATTGGATGCGCGGACGCGTCCGTCGGTCAGCGCGCGTCGGCCCGGCGGCACCGGGGAAGCGCCAGGAGGCGGCCGCGGCCGCGCTACGTGTGCGTCCGTGACGTGTCGCGGTACCCATTGCGGCGCGCAGCGCGTAACGCTCGCTATCGCGATCTGGTGTACAAAAACGTCGGTTGCTTATGGCATTAAAACCAGACAACATGTAACCGCCGCCGATTTCCCGGGCACGTTACGCGGCACCGAAAGTTGATTAGTGGTTTTACACCCGGAAATAAGGGCCACGAAAAATAACGTAAATGTAAAATTGTAGCGCGGCTCGTATCTTGCATTTTTTAGGCATACGAATTCCGGAAAAAGTTAATATTTTCCGAAATAATGAGTTTGCCCCCCCCACTCAAATGTATCACATGGTATCTAATCACTGATTAGATCCATTTATTTATTGTTCGAACGGCAATAAGTATCGCAAAACCACGCGCTGGCTGATAATGTTGGCGATAATATTAATTTCGTTTATTGTACGAGTATTTAATCGAATCGTAATGAATTATATTTCTTAAATTTGTTTTATTAATTGTCGCTTTAAAATTTTTATTTTTCTCGATTGTTTTATAATCGTTCCTTTAAATTTTTTCAATAGTTTATTAAGTTTTCTTCATCGGTATAATAGTAGTAATTTTTTTTTTCCTTTGTGGTTTTTTCCCGGTTTACTTGTACGCGAACTCTTCGAGTCAAGACTGCTGGTAGCTGCGAATGACTTTAAGGAACGAGGATAGGATTATGTGATCGCATTATAATTATATTATGGATTTAAGGTAAGGTTAAGTTAATCGACACAGTGGATTAGGTCTACTCCGGGAAACCCCTATCAAAAAAAAAAAAAAAAAAAAACACACACCCCGTGCAATACCTAATACGCTTTTCGAATAACGTCAAATACTCGTAATAATATTTCATTGGCGTTTGTCGATAACCAAGGTGGTGCGGAAAATTGTTCACGGGTATTATCCGTATCTTTACTATAATCATTCGACAAGATTCGATGTTAAAGGCATATTGTATGTTTTCTTTTATAATATTTGTATAATATTGTACCGATTTTCTCGTTTTCTTCCACGTTTATCCCAGTTCTCCAATGTTTTTCTCCGGTTTTTCACATTTGATGAGAAAACTCCTGCGAAAATCGAAAAATCACCTCTTTAAAGTACCTTCCTAGTACGATTTCCTTTCAGAAAAGATGCTACATATAAAAATCGGAGCAAGATTTGTGGTAGAAGAGTTGTACATAGATAATTGTAAAACACAAAGATAATCGATTTATATAGGTGTTTTTATATCATAATGTCATTATAGTCTATAGACTATAGTAATGACTAATGTATAAACGGTATAGTTTTTTTATTAGTTTTTATACCTACCGTATAATGATATAATGCATACTGTTAGAACCTATTGATAAACTGTATGTGCATAAGTTATATATTTATGTAAACATGTTTTACGTTTTAAATAAAAATATAATTGTGTGATGTAGTTTGTAAAAATGATCATATTATAATATAATGTGCGGATAGTTTACTAAGTGGGCGATAAATTGATGGGAAAATAAACAATATTATTGACATTATTATAAGCGACTATAAATTACAGCTGTTTTAAACGCACAAACAATAAAATAATAAAGTTACTGCATATTACGGTTTGTCAAATATAAAATTCTAAATGAATTTTTTTTCGATAAAAAAATATTATAACATCATAGTAAAACTAATACATTCCTCGCTTTACGCTCAGAATCGAAAAAAAAAGATTTACATATTTTATTAAAAGAAACATAAAAACACATCACAATATCTTGAAATAATATGTAAGTTTTAGAACACATTACGATAGTACTCGGATACCTACTGAATTTATTTTCGACGAGATAATGTAATGTTTTATTGTTTTTTTTATAACTCATTTAAAAACACTATAACTAGTCTAGATCCAATCTTGAAATGCGTTATGTTCCGAATTTAATGTTGTATTATTGTATTCAAAATACTTTCAAAATCGGTTTCTTATTTTTTTTTTTTTAAGTACCTATTAAACACCGTTTTCCAAATATTGCATTTGAAAAATATATTACAGAAAAACGTAGGTACATTAGAATCCATGACTATACCAACCGAATGTACTGTAGGTATTTACATTATTTTAGAATGATGTATGTATTATTCACTACTTGCAGCATCTGCGATCTGTATGTACCTCTATCCCTATGTAATTTTGTTAAAATTTTTGTGTAAATTGCGGCTATTAATATTTTGTGCATTTTTAATTTTCGTTCGATTTGTGTACTAATCAACAATAACAGGTAATATCATTTTATTTTTTTACATTTTGCCGTTCAGAAAATGTATTATTTTGCTTACAATCGTATAATCAGGGACGTAATTATTTAGGAGTAGGCAGAGTATGCGTATGTACCCATTTTATGTACTACTTTAATGTAGTCTAAATAATTGGATCGCTGAAATATTGCAGTATTATTTATATAATTAAAATTAATTTCTATTTTATATTAACAGTGTTATTTTATTATCAATCGTGGTTACAACGGTTACAATGGGTTAATAAACACATATTGTGTTATCAATTAATTAACTAAACCAGTGACCGGCATCTAGGACGATGCATCTTCTCTGTTGAATGTTAAATATTTTGTTTCTGAACAACTGTGATTCATTAATATTAATCACCGCAGCGGTTATTATATTATTACGGTCGTTTATTGAAAAAAAATATAAAAAAATATTAATAGGATCGAAATAATAATTAAAAATTATTACGTAAACCTGCAGAAAATGAATATTTTAACGAGCTTCTTGTATAAAAATGCGTGCTCAAGGTATACGACCGTTAAAATTATTCGTACAAATTCTTTCTTTCATAAAAAAAAAAAAAACCGTCGATTTCAATAATAATGAAAAATTATTAAATTTTTACTAATGATTATAATATTTTGCCAATAGGTACGCGAAATTCGTATTTCTCTCTCTCTCTCTCTGTCTCTTTCTTCGTTTCTTCCACATTAATTGAGCATATTTTTTAATATACTTACGGTCGAATTTGCATATTACTACGCAAAATTATATGACCGTTTATTGTTATTCGCAGCACGTACTTATTACTTCTGTATTATAGTTTTACTACATTATAATATAATCATTCATGAACGAGCCATCGACTTGACTTATAAAGACATTGAATTCTATTACCGCACTAAGTCTGTAAAATATAAATTTTTCACTTTAAAAAAAGATAATTAAATCTGGCAACATAATGTTTTATTTGGATATTGGGCACACTGTTTCCCATAACTCTCTTTTATCTATATTTTTTGTATCCAAACTCACAAACTCTATCGAATATTGCATTCAATTGCAGTTAACTATCGTGGTAGTCAGGCGAGTGTACAAGGGTGGGGGTTCAACCCAGGTTTTCCCATTTATTGCGAAAATTCTTGGGAAAATCAAAAAATAACTTCCCTAAAGTACAACCCCAGTCAGATTTCCTTTCAGAAAAAGTGCTATTATTGTAAATCGGAGTAAAATAACAGGTAGAACAGTTTTACACAGAAAAAAAAAAACTAAACATCATTGTAAAACCAATAAATTACTCGCTTCACTCAGAATCTAAAAGGAATGTTATAAAACATTGACATTTTTAACAAAAAATAAATAATACTATAGTTGAAAGTATTTAAATTTTTTTGTTATAAGAGTAATGAAAGTGTAAAATCTTAAACCCCTCTGAAATATTTTTTTTATAAACGCACCTGGTGGTAGTAACTATCATTGTATGGACTTTAATCTTATTACAGCTTTTATTGATAAAATTACCTTCTCTCTCTGAGATGACCGGATATTGCGTTTGCGAATTGTTTTTAATTTAGAAAACATCATTTCTATACGATTTAATGTAACTGGCAGTGTAAAAATAAAGTTAAAAACAAAATATGTGAAAACTTGTAAATGTTTACCGTTGAACAGGATTTTTTTCGGAATTCATACAAAACATTGTACTATAGTCTATACTATTTTATTTTAATAAAATCGAAAACACGGAATTAAATGAATTCTAACAAAAATATTAACAGTTCGGTTTTTTCAGTTGCTAATTTCCATGCAAACTAAAAATCGAAACGGATTTTTTTTTAAGTATATTTATCGAAACATTATTATAGCGACAAATTATTAAGTACTTTGAATTTTCATTTTTTTTCGTTTAACAAGTGGCATTAAATATTTACATTTTAAAATACAAGGGGCAATTTGCACTGAAAAATAAAGGTTTTTTAATCACATTATCATAAGTTTTCATGAAACGGATTTAAAAAAATATAATATATCATAGAATCATAATCCTCGACTAAAGTCGATTTAGGTGGGCAAAATAGTTTTCGCGGGAGGGTATGAAAGGCAATTTGAGTTTATGACGATGGATGAAAATACGCGTAAAAAAGGTCAACTACGTGGATTTGAGAGATAATTCGAGTAGTGGGACCAGAATCGCCTCATAATAATAATAATAAAAGGACCTATATATGGATCGGTATGAAACAAAAAAAAATCAACAAATTCTCTCGGCGAGCTGGGTATATATTATGGAAACTAAACCGGGTTCAGGCGCACAACCGGAGGGTTAAGGTGCTTTAACTCTCCCCCCTCTTTGAACGTATTCTATATTATGTATACATGTATACTAAAACATAAATTATAATTGTTAATGCTGGTATGAAACATCATATATCAGCAAGAATGGATTGGGAAATCGTAATTTGAAATGTGTTTTAATCAAACGTATATACGGAAACAATATTATAATGAGTGAAAATTACACAGTCTACCGCTGTCTTAGATGATATTTTCTTGTAACCAGTGGTGTATTGGGGGGTATACGGGGGTAAACGGCGTATAACCAATACGCTATTTTCATCCATGACGTATAGATTATAGCGTATTGATGATACGCTGGTATACGGCCGTATCTGCCGTATATCCTATATGGCAATTATTAATACCTATAATTTATTTATATAAATTATTGTAAAATATAATTTGATGAGCACGAATTATAATATAGGGCGTAACACGTAACGCGAAGATTTATTTTTTTTTACGAACAATTATTATCATTTAAAAATTAAGGTTTTGT